ACAGCTGATGCCGGCTTTTATCCAGGAAGAAGACAGTTCACCGAGGTGCAGCCCTCGGGGACAATAGCTGCAGCTGTGAGTTGCTGGGTAGGCTGGTGGTAGGGTGGGAGGCCTTGGCTGTCTAGCTTGCTTGCCTCTCATGAATCCTCATGGCTTGATTGACACATTAATCTACAGGATGAGAACCTGCCTTCCAAAGGGGTCTTTCTGCTTGCCCTGTTGAGGGAGGAGGGAGAAAAGAAAAAAGACCTCCCAGACTTCAGGAGCTTTTGGAGACATCTGCCTGAGTCTGTAGACAGCATGGAGACAGGAACTCCCCCTCCTCTGCTGCTGCCACTGGTGGCTATCCTAGCCTAAAACAACAACCCAGTCTTTCCTTTCTTGATTAAATGATTGCTCTGGGCTATTTCCTTGTGGCATGACTGCAGTAGCCATGGCAAGGAGGTGAAAGGAATTGTTCTTTCTTTTCATGTCCCCCACCATACTATTACTTTTTAAGTTCCCTGTCCCAGGAATTAAGGGTTTGACCATCACTGAAGTCTGCATAAGGAAGAGATGGGAATTGTGGGTGCTAGGTGCTGTGGGTTTGGCTCTGGCGTAGGCACTGGGAATACTTTGTGCTCCAGTTCTCACATTTACACAGGGAGAGGGTATGATAGATCCATCTCTTGCCAGCTGCTCTTTGCTTCTGTGCTCACTGCTTTTCTCTGAGCTGCCTTTTTGTCTGAGCAGACTAGAATATCTGAGGTCCCTGGCTTTGGATGCAGCATCTGAGATTACTGCAGAAACAGGGGAACATGACCCTAGTAATAGGGCAGAAATGTAGCTGGTGTGAGCTGCTGATAATAAAAGCTTTCAGAATTTATTTAAGGTGCCTCCAAAGTCATGTGGCCTCAAATAACTTGCTCCATATTTGTGGTTGAGCTCAATATTTTGCATACCAGCATTTTTCCCCTCTTGAATTTGAGGCTCACTTTTTGTTTTCTTTAACTCTTGGGAGGCTGTGTGAAAGTGACCTCCAGCTGCCAGCAGCAGTGGGCCAGGAAGGGCTGAAGGGGAGTTGTTTGCTGGCAGCCTTAAAGCAGATGGGGCTCAGCTGGGATCTTGCTGGGGTTAAGGGAGCAGCCATCATCATGGTTAAGTTCTAAGCCAGGAGAGCAGACCGGGGCAATAACTGCAGGTGTCCTTGTGGACCTTCTCTCCTTTGCCCTTTGGGAGGGATGCTCATCAAGCCAGGAGAAGAGTAAATTTGCTTCATCTCTGAGGAGCTACCAGAGGCCTCCTGAAGTGTAAGGATATGGCTCATGGAGAAGTGACACATTTCTAATCACGGGACCTACCTTTATTTCCACCTCCCCATCTGCACACAGGCAGACAGTGTTGTAGCCAACTCCGGTGAGGAGAGTAAGTTTCCCCTTATTCCTGCAAGCTCTGCCAAGCCACTGTGGCTTAGGAGGAATAAGCTGATCCTCTCCTTGCACGTGCCTCGTCAGCTAAACTGTTTTATAAAGCTTCATTGAATTCCATCCAGGCAAACCCACTGTTTGCCACAGAGCATCCGTTAAAGCATGGCTTGACCTAAAAAACCTTTGCCGCCAGGAGCTGTGCGTGAAGAAAACCAGACCTGAAGCAAACCTGACACACCTCTGAGACTGCAAACCCTTTTTTGTCTTGTGCAAAGCTTTCCCCTTCCCCACCTTTAATATTAAGAGCCTTAGGATATAGGGTTCTGGCAATTAATATCTCTATAGTGATGGTACATAGTAGACTCTCTGCCTCTGGAGGCCTGTCTCTGCTTTACTTACCCTTCCCTTACCCTGCTAGAGTTAAAACCCGCAGCTGTGATAACAGCATCTGAAAGATTGTTGTTGACCCAAGAAATATCAACTGTGGGATGCCTCATAGGTCACTCTGTGAAGAAAAGTAAAGGGATCAGCATCTTTCCCAATAAACAAGCGTTCCTTTGTTCGTGTTGCTGTGTAGGTTTTGCAGGGGTTAGCACACAGCTCTGGAGGTTCAGAATCTCTTCCCGCTCACAGGGATGGTATGTGAAGAGGGAAGGAAGATTTGCCCTGTAGTGTGGGTTTCAGTAAAGGAAGCATGGCTGTGTCATAAGGAAGAGTTTAAAAACTCCTTTTGATGTCTTCAGCTTTCTGACATGTGAGAACATCTAGACACCCAAGTCTAGCAGTGCGTGTGTTGCAAACTGGCTGATCTCTCCAGAACTCTGGAGAGCTGCGGTTTTACCCACGCTGATCTTGTCCGTCACTCCTGAAGCTGCAAGCAAGGGGAGGTGCTTGGCCAAGTTGTTCTTGTAAGAAGTCAGTGCTTCCAGATAGAGTGACTTGTCTGTGCATTAATAAGGCATCTCTTAGGGTTGTGTTACTGTGAGTGACAGCTGAGGAGTTGTTTCAGTCCAGGACTGTATTTAGGTGCAGGATTGGGGAAAGATAGGAGTTGTGCTGAACTCAAAGGCATGCTGAGCTCTGCTCATCTTCTGGGGGAAAATGAGGAATACCCTTGGGAAGAGTTAGAATGATGATATCCCTTTTCACCTGGGATGAAGTGCCTGGGCAGCACTGCTGCCTTTTGCGGCTGAAGGAATAAATCAGTGCTTGTAGCATCGCTCCCCTGGCTTGTTGGATGCACACAGGGGCTCTGGGCTCGTCTCTGTGGAGCAGGAGCCCTGGGTCAGCCTTTGACTATGCTTCAGCTGGAGGTGCCCAGTTTGCAGTGGGGTGACTCACCTGAGACCAAACCCCAGCCCACTGACTTCTCTCAGGAGCTATTTTCAGCCAGAGCAATGTGGCCATCTGACTTAGCATCCCATTGTTTTTGAAACACTTCTTTCTATTTTTCCAGACTGAAAGTGTGAATCATTTGCCTATTCTGCTAATTATACACTGAGCAATCATGCTTGTTGCTCTCCAGCAGAAGCTTCTGTTCCGTGAGTATAAAACCTGAGGTCACGAGCTACTCTTGAGTTTGTAGTGGTTTCAGTCCTTGCTCCCTCCCCAGGCAGGCCAAGGGCTGAAGATGGAGCAATGTTGAGCTGATAAAGCCAGAACTGTCAATCAGGCGAATTGATAATTTCACAGCTTGTGAAAAACACTTGACATTGAAAAGTATAGAGATAGCTTTTGTTTTTTCCACTGTTGTTTACGACTTGGAGGAAAATAAAAAGGGGGGGAGGGAAATGAGAAGGTATGCAGCAAAAATAACTGACACAGATGCAGGAGATGAGGCTGACTCCTGTTCCTGCTGAGTAACTGATGATGAGGCAGTACTTGCTTTCCCAAAATACATCAGAGAGAGAGAGAGAGAGATATGGGTGCTCTGCTGAGAGATGTTCAACACCCACCGCTTTCTGTGAAGCCTGTGAGTCATGGGCACCTACTGCTTTCTGGGATCTGCTCCGAGCTCCCTTCAGTTCATCATAAACCCAACCCACTGGTGTTTTAAAAATACCAATGTTGCAAACATTTAAATTAACCCATTCACATCATGCATAAATCCCAGGGTGGTCTTCCATTGCACAGGGTTTTCCCAGGAAAATCACTGTTGCCGGTAAATGAGGTCATGGTCTCTTTTTATGTTGTTTTTTTTTTTTTTTTACCCAGTCTGAGTGAAGGAGGTGACATCTCTCAGTCACCTTCAGCTTCAGTGGTAGGGTGCTGGTGAACAGCTGTCCAGTATATGGAGGGATGGACATGGACAGTCTGGTGTATTGGCATTAAGCCTTCAGACAAGCCTGGTTCAGTTGTTAAAGCTTAGGGATCTAATACAGGTGTCAAGCTGTGTGTGCCAGTATGGCAAAAAGGAGCCCTTTGTGCCATATGGTGACATTTTTACTTTGCAGTGTTGCCTTTCTCAGAGGACTTCATTTTTTTTTCTTCAAGTCTGAGTGGTATTTTCATCAACACTCAGCCCAGAGGTAACCTATTTCTTCTTGCAGTCGATGGCTGTTTGTGGAGGGAAGTGTTGATGCTCAGCAATTGTGCAGAGCATGAGAAGCCCTCTTCTGCTTTGGATTCTTATTTTAACAACCAAAGAGTGTCTTTTTTTCCATGTATGGTTCAGAGCCCACTGATTTTGTGGAAAAGAAGCTGGTGTTTCCAGCATCTTTAAACCAGGCTGAAGCTGCCCACGACTATAATTTAGGTCAACAGCATGGCCTTGGAGGAGTGACTCTGCTGGAAATGTTTAAGTTTGGAGAAAAGTAGTATCTTAAGTTAAGAATAACAGATTTTTTGAGAAAAATGTGTAAAATATCAGTGGAGCTGCTCTAGGTCTACCAAGTTGTTGGTGTTTTTTGATTGATTTTTGTTTTGTCCGTGCTCAGGTATTGACATAACTGCAAATTGCCAGGGAAGAGATAACTGGGCTGCCTTCTTTCTACAAGCCTCTCTGTGAATTACTGTACAGTTGCTATGGAAAAGTCCTAAATATAATCTTGGAGTTGTTTCAGGTCTCCATTCTGCCAGGTCTGTGCTGCCCCATTACCCTCCACAAAATGGCCTTGGGGTGTCGTGATGTGGCCATGCTGAAGGGTTGCAGCAAAAGTTCTGGGAGGATAGAGTGAGCCCGAGAGAGCTGCTCAACCCCCTTGTCAAACTAAGCCAAGGAGAACCCATATTTCACTGTGGGCTGTCTATTCCAGATGTCTGCCTAAATAACATTCCTGAAACCCTAGGGGTATGTGACACTGAGGCCTTGGAAACAATGTTTGAGTATTGTAAATTGGGATAGAATCACGGTATGTAGAAAAAGTCTAGTGGTGTTTGCATGCCTTGGGATTGGGGATGTTTTAGGTATTGAGCCCCACAGGGGAGAGCTGGATAGAAGTAAAAGGAGAGCATGTTTGGGAGGTGAACCTAAGACAGAAAGATCCTGTGTCAAACTCCTGCAATGTTACGTGGTTCTGGCAGTACTAGGCACAGCCTTCTTCCCTGACAGGGGCATTGCAACCCTGCTAAATGCCTTCCTTCTCGGTCCTATAGAACGATGACCTTAGGAACCTGTCCCTCTCTGGCCACGTGGGCTTCGACAGCCTCCCTGATCAGCTGGTCAACAAGTCAACATCGCAGGGCTTCTGCTTCAACATCCTCTGTGTGGGTAAGTCATCCTGTGTCACTGGGCCATCAGCTTACACAAAGGGGTGCACAGGTATCCACAGATAAACACATTCTTCCTCCTGTGAGGGGCAAGGTCTGAGCCAGTGGGGATCATAGTGGCAGAGAAGTGACAGTTTCTTCCCAGATTTGCTCCAGGGTGAAATCTAGTATCCCTCTCTTCCTTTTCTCTATCCTGTCCCCCAAGTCAAAACATGGAAATTTCTGGCTGTTAAAATCTTCCTTTGGAATCATCCTGTGGTCCTGCTTTCCTCAAGGGCAGCCCATAAGGAAATTGAGCTTACTTGGGAACTCAGTGTATTTTTAAAAGAATGTGAACTTAAATCTGTTTTTCTCTGGGTTGGGTGTTTCTCAATAAATTGCTTTCCTTCCCTTCCAGGCTTTACCTGCCCATCTTGTTATATTCTTAGTTTCTCCAGTTGGAAACAATGCCATATTTAGTCTCCAAATGATGTACTTGAGAACAAAACCTGTCACCTTTTCTCTGCTGTATTTAATATGGATGCTGCAAATTGGTTTTATAGCTTGAGTTACTGCATTACTTTTCAGAAGGTGAAATAGGGGGATGCAGCTTCTTCTCTTGGCTCTAGAGATACCTGCTGTCTTGGTATGCTCTTTGGATACTACACAATTGTAAATCCATTGCTCAGCCCTAGGGAGCTGTGTGCCAAACCAGCTTGGAACCTTGCTGGACATCTACAAGACACCCCCAGAACATGGTTCAGTAAACTGACAAAAACAGTGGGGTTTACTCTTAGTTTGGCAGAGCAGCCTACAGACATCATTTTCCCATTCACTATTCATGTAAAGCTTTCAAGGGAGTATTGTCGCTTCTAATTATTTACACTAATTAGCTGAAAAAAGAGCCCAACTCTCTGTTATTTTTCTACATTGAATTGAGAATTTTTGACTACAGCACAGGATGAGCCATCTGAAAAGAAACCTGGCAACAAACTAGACTCCTATCTCTAGCTTTGCATGTCTAAGAATGAGATAAGAGAATAGTTGTACTTCTGCACACTCAAGCCACCAACCCCTATGTGATTCTCCTAGCAGCATGAAACCATTTCAAATTCAGCAGGGAACAGCCTGATTAGCAGGCAGCTCTTTGATCAAAATGGCATCAATTAATTGCCTTTTTCTCTTGCAGTAAATATTCCTCTCTTAACATGGCTTGATATGTCTCCGTTAATTTGGTCCAGCTCAATTTTTTTTCTTGTAGAATGTGCTGATCAACCATTTTTCACCCCAAATTAAAATTTCACACAAATTGCTGCAGTTGTCCAAGGAATAGAAATATCCTCCTTTAATAAAACTCCAAACTTTTGAAATTGTGCTTTGAGAAAGGACCCAACTAGCTTTGGCATTGTAATTGAGACTTTTAATTGTGGTGTGCATGGATAAAATGCTGCGAAGCCCATCTAGCGCAGCACTGTGTTCCCATCAAGAGCTCACTAAAACAGGGAGATTCAGAGATGAGCAGCCTGTGCCATCAGTTTACGACTGATCCTTCATTGGGGTTGTGCTCTAGATGGACTTAAATTCTGAGCTATAGTGTCAAATGAACTGTTGAATATCACAGAATAACAGGCAGTTGCTGAGTAGTGTTTGTTTCTGTGCACACAAATATTACATTGTTTTATGACGCTCTTTAAGTGGGGGTTTAACATATTTTAAGAGAGAGATTCATGCTAGGAGAGCTGAACACAGCCCAGAGATGCTTATGGACAATCCCAGATGCAGGCTCTCCTCTCCCTCCTGATACTTTGCATTGCTTTTCTTTTCTTCACTCCTAGTAAGACTGGGGGGTGGGGTGGGGTGGGGGGGGTGGTGTTAAAAGGTAGGGATGCCCGACCTCCAAATGCCAAGAGCTGCCCACTGTAGTCCAGGAGGTTTGTTCCATGTCCCGGCATCTCTTTGGTTGGAGCAAGTCCCTGCTCACAGCATGGGTAGCAGTAGCAGTTTGAGAGTGTAATTGCTAAGCAAACACTTATGACTTAAAAATGGGATTTAGACTAATGCTTTCATTATTGTTACTAATTGTACTGGGGATTAGTGAACCTGTAATAGTTTTAAAAGCTGGTATTTAAGCAGTGCTATTTTAGATTTTAAAAAACCTTTTAATATATATTTCTGTCTTATATTTTCATTGACCAAGTTATGCTGTGGGTTTTTTGGATGCTCTTGAAAAAAGGAATGGAAACAGAGGGAGAAAAAAAAGGCATAAAACCAAGCAGAAAATCAGATACCTCCTTGGGAATCAAACTTGGAGTTGAGACAATCTACAAGTTGCTTCTGTAAAGAAAGTTATATCAGAACTAGGACTTTGCCTGTTCTGTTAAGGAGAGAATTCAGCATTTCTCCAGTAAGAATGGCTTCTTGCTGTCCTGAATGCAGTTGTCACTTGCAAGCTGGGAAGCTTGGGGCTCTTTCTCCATTAAGCAGGACAGAGCCTGCATCAACTGTTGTTGTTCTGTGGTTTTACTTAATTTTTTCTTCTTTTTAATTTAGTATCTTTTCTTCAGGGAGTCCCATAAGCTTTAGCTCATCCTCTCCAATTTCTCCATATCCCATGGGAAATGTTAACAGTAATAACAGAAATGACTCTCTGCCTCTCTGTGTGTGCAGTAAGCCTACAGATTTCTCTTGCCATTCCCAGCCCAGCAGCCTAGGTGTTCACCTATGGGAGATGGCTTCTAGCTCTGAAGGCATTTGATTTATCTTGGTGTCTGTCAGGGTAAAATGCTTTTGCATTAACAGGCAGATTAACACTTCAGATTCATGTCTCCAGCGTGTGGTGCTTTGCTCATGTACGTCTGCTAGGTGCACTGCAGAGACCTGGATGCTGTGACTTGAGGAGGAAACTAGTCAGAGCCCAGAAGCAGAAGTCAAGCACCTCCCAATGCCCACAAAGTCTCTGATTACATCCTTGGGCATTGGTAAAGATGGGGACTGTCTCAAAAGACCTCTGTTCCTGAAAGGATAATTTTGCTTAACCATGTGCATGTAGCCCAGTTCCATTGCAGCCCATGTGGAGTAACTCCTCAGACTGGTGCATGTGCCTGGGAATGAGATGAGGAAAAGCAATCAGATCATACTAACGCTGCCTTTGTTTGCTCAGGCGAAACTGGCATTGGCAAGTCAACGTTGATGGACACTCTGTTCAATACCAAGTTTGAAAGTGAACCTGCGACACACAACGAGCCTGGTGTGAGGTTGAAAGCCAGGAGTTACGAGCTCCAGGAGAGTAATGTCCGTTTGAAGCTGACTATTGTCGACACAGTTGGATTTGGTGATCAGATCAACAAAGATGACAGGTAAGTTTATTTGTGTCAGGAGAAGTAATCCTTGCACTGATGTGGCCTGAGATCAGAAGGGCCTAATCCTATGTGGGGAGTGGGTTTCTCACTGTTCCTGGGGGTGTATCCTCATCCAGGTGTGGCAACTGGCATCATTTACCACATGAGACAGGTAGAAGTAAGGAGAAACTGAAGTGAAGAACAAACAGATCAACTATACTGAACTGAAACTGTCTGCCTTCCTGGACTCTGTGCAACCTAGTTGCAGTCTCTGTTTGCATTGAAACATGTAAATATTTGAAAGCATGAGTTCAAATTGCAATTTCATCTTTTAGGGAGACAGAACTCAGATCATAGTTCCTGTTCACACCATCCTGGGATGCTCAAGTCTAAGTGGGTTTTACTTATAGCTAAGAGCCGATTGTCACGTTGCATGCATAAATTAAATACTCTGGGCAGCCTACGCAATCCCTTGTGTCCATCCATACGGACTTTTGCTGTAGTGTTAAAAGTCATCATTCTGTGATTATGGCTAATTCACTAATTAATGCATTTTCTGTATCTTGGAGCCATACATACCCTCGTTGGACTAATCCCAGCTCCATCTGGAGGGCTGTTTGTGATCCTCTTCTCTGCACCTTGCCAAGTGAGGGGCACACTGTCTGGCAGCACGTGTGCTAACCAAGAGCTATTGGGGCACTGTAGATAAGACAACATCAGCTCTTTGAAAATACCAGCTTAACATCACAGTTTCCCCTGGGATCCCCATTAGCATGGAGATCAGCAGGTTCTGCTTCCTGTTCCATAAGGAAAATTTAAAATATTTTTTTCTGTAACGCTTGCTTGCTGCTTGACCTGATGCCAGAATGCAACTCTTGTCCCTGCTTTGCTGCTCCTGCTCCTATCTAATGCTGCAGAGCCGAACAGTGAGGGGCGAGTGCTGCATGCCAGACACTGCCATATGCTCCTGGGTGAGAACAAAAGCTGTTCAGAGGAGGAGCAGGTGCTCCGAGCAGGGATGCTCTGCGGCGTCTTAACCGCCAGGTCATTTTGCATTTGCCTTATTCAGCACACAAGCAGAGCCAGCAGTATTGGTGGCAAAGCCCCTCCAACTTCCCCTCTTGGCAGCTGGAGAGAGGGGCAGCCACAGCAGTCTGTAGGCAGAGCTTTTGTCCTACTGATGTGCCCTGACAGTGGGTGGGATTTACTCTGTGCTTCTGATTTGAGTCCTCCCAGTCCTCCTTTGCACTGCTTTTCTACAGTGGTTTTATCTGATACGATCTCCCAGTGTAAGGCCTTACTGCTTTCTTTGCAACATGCCTGTGTCTGAGGCTTTTGGGGTCTCATTGTCAGAGACAGAATTTCCACAAGCAAGGAAACCAGAGCAGCAGTGATACTACAAACCCATCTAGTGATGTTCATGGTACCCTCTGTGTCCGTAAATTAACAAGCACTGCTCAGTACTGTCTTACAGGTCTCTGATGTTGGTAGCACGCACACAGCACTGGCTGTCTTCTGCTATAGCTTTCACTTACTTGCTTCCGCAAGGGTCTTGAGCAACTGCTCCACAGCTGCACTGGCATCTGGGGCAGAGGGGACAGACCAGAGCCTTACTGGCTGCCAGTTAGAGGGTGTTTATGAAGAACCTGAAAACTGCTGATGGTCTAGTTCCTTTTCACAGCTGCTTTTGAGGGGTGGTATTAACACTGCTGTAAATCCAGTGCTCAAGACAGTGGTGCTGGTGCTTCAGTGCCCTCCTTTGAGAGTTTCCTCGGGCTGGAGGTCATGGGGCCTCCTAGGGAGAAACAGACTGCAATGCTTCCTTTCCAAAGCACAGCCATATAGAGCAGGGCACGTTGCACCAGCCTGGGGGGGGTCCCTCCAAAAAACGATCCCTTCAAAGTACATAAACACTGCAGTTGTTTGCTGAGCTTTGCACCTCCACCGAGTGCAGCCCTGCCCATTGTGCACCGTTCCCTCACCAGACCGGTGCAGGCACTCTCTACACTCCGAGCATCTGCTCCGCAGCCTCCCCTCTCACCGGCTCTGTCTGGATGCCTGCGCTGCCACCGCCGGGGCAGCCAGAGCGGAGCTCCCGGACCGGGCCCTGGCCCTGAGGCGAGCGCGCTCACTCCCTTCAACTGCCGCGCCCCGCGCAATTCCCGCGCTCCCTGAGGCGGGTTTTACCCGCTCAGGCCGGGGTCGTCCCTCCTGGCACCGCCCCCTGTGAGTCCCTGCGCGCCTCAGCGGCGCTGCCGGCTCCTGGGCAAGGCCTGGCGGGGGCTCGGGGCGCCGTCGGCGGCTCGCTCCGCTCAGAACGGGGGCTCCTGGACGCGGGGGTTCCCTTCGCAGCGGGGTTGAAGGCTCCTCTCTGGAGCTGCCCGTCTCGGGAAGTCTGCCCTTTTTTAAGATCACAAGCAAGCTTTTGGACAAGGTCGGTTAGGTGGCAGTTTCGTGTTTGAATTTTCTTGTGTTAGCTGATTCTCAGTGACATGGGCAGAGCAGCAGCTCAGACCTTAACTGAAGAGACTGCAAAACACATTGTTTTCCGGGATAACGGCCTTGTGCGTCCATGCACATGAAGTCCAGGGTCTCTGCCACTTTACCTTGCTAATATGTCCATAAAATGCTCCCTGTGCGCTGAGTGGGAACACAGGCTTGCTAAGGAGGGATTGTAGGTTGAGTGGGGAGGGTCGTAAGAGCAGCACTTGCCCTATAATGTACCGGGCACCCATGAAGCTTCCATCATGAAGTGTCCGTCAGTGACCTGTGTCACCCTACCAGTGAATGCCCTGGTTTTCTCTGTGCCGTGTTCTCTCTCTTCAGCTACAAGCCTATAGTAGAATATATTGATGCGCAGTTTGAAGCCTACTTGCAAGAAGAGCTGAAGATCAAGCGATCTCTGTTCAATTACCATGACACCAGAATTCACGCCTGCCTGTATTTCATTGCACCAACTGGTCACTCACTGAAGTCCCTAGACTTGGTCACCATGAAGAAGCTCGACAGTAAGGTACTTATTGCCTATGTTATGACCATTGCGTGGCCCTGCTAGTGCTTCTATGGTCTTGCCACAGGCTTAGTTAAACCTGTTTAGAAAACTGCTGTCTGTTTTTAGCAGCGGGGAATTGCAGAGGTGCTGTATGAAAACTTTATCTTGGGCTAGCTGCTAAAATGAGTCATTACTCGCTGATCTGTATGCTGCAGAGATTTATTAAGTCTCTTCCACTCCCATCTTGGGTTGGGAAACATGGCTGCTTGCTCCCCAGCTCACAACTGGAAGCTCAGTTGGCTGTTGAAAAAGAGAGAAAAGTGTGTTTTCCTCCCTATATGTGTAACTAAAAATGAGAGGTTCAAGTTGAACTCTGCTAGTTCTAGCACTCAAAGATGTGGTTTCCATCTCTGTTTCACTTTGTCCAACAAATCAGTTAGGCTCTTGTACAAAACCTGATTTGGTAAGTGCATATGAGATAAGTACATCTAAACCACTTCAGATCATCTTACTGATCAGTGAAAACCAAATCAAAATGCTATGTCTGGGTGCTCTGACTGCATCCAGCTAGACATGAACAGGGATTTGATATTTCATGGCAAATGTTGTGTTGTTCTAACCATAATGTGATAAACAGGAAGAATCTGAATAAATATGTTACTTGGCACATGATTTTTCAGTTACCCTTATGACTAGCAAGAATGAGAACTGAGCTTGATTTCAAACATGGGGTTGTATTTAAATAAATTTAATCTCTTTTCATATAGGGAAAATAACTGAGGTAGACATGGAAAACCTGAGTATTTAAACTGAGATTTCCCTGTGCTTCTTGACATCATGATTAAGCAATTTAAATTAGTCCATCGTGCACCTTTGGCTCATTTGATCCTGATTCGGCAGAAGACGAATGGTGACAATGGTTCTTTATTTCCTAGAGTGGCCTGTCAACTGGGTTTAGTGCAGTGATGGAGAAAGATCCCTGCCCTATTCAACTTAAAACACGGTTGTGGAGATTTACTTAAAGCAAGCTAATTGGCATTCATGTTTTATCTTTTGGCAAAGGGGGCTTTAATAACTCCAGGCCGCCCTCCAAACAGAACTAAGTGATGAAGCATATGAGGACTTTCAGGTACTGTAGTTAAAATCCCTTCGTAAAGGTCAATATCAGCATCTTCCTCACTACCATTTCAGTCTGTTGCACGGAAAAGCAAGCCCTGCAAGATCTAGAGCAGAAACAGGCCATTTTGAGGGAGCAGGAAGGGAAAGCAAGCAGGATTTCTTGTCCTAATGCATTCTTGTCTTCTCCATGCAAAGCAGATGCTTGTGTGGTGCTCACTGTGCATAGAGCCATTCAGCTACACTGAGGGTACCATGCTATCTCCTCTTGGCTCCTAGAGGCATCCTGCTGCCAGTGTTGCCAACAGCCTGCCTAGGGAAGAGTCAAGACCTTACCTTCCATTTCTGTATTAATCCCATCGTGGCATTCCTTTGGATGATTGTCTTAGAGCTGTGCAGGGAGAAATGAACCCTCCTCCCACAGTACAGCTGTGTCTGGGAGCATGTGAGGGTGTGCGGGTGGAGGAAGAGTGCCTGTATTCCTGCCATCACTCTGTGTGTTGTGTGGTTGGATGTGGGCCATCTGCTTCCATCTCCAGAAGAGGAACAGCAGCACTGCTGCCCATCTGGGTGTCCCTGATACACAAACACCCACGAGAGGCTGTTGTCTGAGCGTGTCTCTTGCAGTAATACAGCCTGCTGCGGTGTGGAAGAGAAGTGCCAAGATGGCAATCTCCTTCTTTGTTTTTTGGTTTGTTTTTTTTTTTTTGGAACAGCTTGTAATAATCTGTGGCAGCATTTCCTGTCCAGCCAATTTGGAGGAGGAGGGAAATACAACAGGACAGGAAATAGCATATTGCCAGATTACATTTGACTTCTTTTTAAGGCCATCATCACAACTGCCTGAAAAATCTTGTCTAAGGCAGTGGTGCTGTCAGTTGCAGCCCCAGGGAAGATCTTCTGCTGGGGAGACAGTGACTGGTGGCCCTCAGAGGACTGTTGATGCAGGATACCTGCATTCCCGGTGATGCAATGTGTGCAGGCCTGTATGTGAAGGTGCTGTCATTGTCTTTCAGGTGAACATCATCCCCATCATTGCCAAGGCAGACACCATTGCAAAAAACGAGTTGCACAAGTTCAAGAGTAAAATCATGAGCGAGCTGGTCAGTAACGGTGTCCAGATCTACCAGTTCCCGACAGATGAAGAGACAGTGGCTGAGATAAATGCAACGATGAGTGTATGTTTCTTGGGGGGAGAGGGGGGCCGTAGAATCACAGAATGGTTTGGGTTGGAAAGGACTTTGTCCTGGGTTCAGCAGTAGCACTTGTCTAGTTCTAACCCCTTGCTGTGGGCAGGGAAGCCTCACGCTTTTGCTTGCCTTGGTTTGTGTGGGCCCATCCTTGATGGTAGGGCACATTGAACGTGTTTCTTTTGGCGTTAAAACTGCAGTCTAAGCACAAAGACCAGGCTGGTCAGAAGGCTTTTAGAGCTGGAGATACCTGTCACATGTGGGCTGCCTGGCCTGCTATGCTTCATTGTCTGACAAATGATTCTCCTCTGAGCATTTTTTCACATCCTTCCCCTGTTGTAGTATTCCCATCTTGGGAAAGGAAGAGGATGGGAGGCAGGGCCCCAGCACAGTCAGGGCAGAGGGCTGGGGTCTGGGTTTCCTGTCCCAAACCACCACTTGTTGCGTAATGGGGGGTGATTCACTTCTGCCTTTGTTTTGCTTTCCGGTGAGAGTGGGGGCACCATCACTGATGTTCCAGCTCCAGCAGGGTCACTGGCCATCAGCATAAGTGCTCTGGTGTTCACCTCCTTTCCTGTCCTCTAGCAGTAGGTGTGAGATTTGAGGGCAAACAGGACTAGGGTAAGATCGTTTTAGTGGAGTTTACAGAGGGGAAACAACTGTTTCCCATGGGCCTAACTTGGAGTGCAAGGAGAAGAACCTGAGCTCAGGGTTTCTGTCAGCGATGTCTATCCCAGCAGTGCTTATAGGGCACTTGGGTGGCTTTAGTAGGGCACATAACACCCAAGATGAGTGCCAATTCTAAAGCAAGTGCAAGCACAGGGTTGAACTAACCGTGTTTTTACAGGGAATGGAGGCATTAAGATCAAGACATTTCCTTGTGACTTTGAAGCTTTTGTGACTTTTTCTTCTTTCCTTGCACAAGTGCATGTAGATGGGCACTAGGCACATCCAGCTGGATATCAGACCCTCTCCAAACCTTTGTATTGCTTCTTTTCCCTGCCTGTGTTGTGTTCTCAGCAGGGAGTAGCTGGTGCAGAGATGTGACTGTGCCAGGGTGCACCATGTCTTTTGCCTTCCTCTGGTGCTGCCTGGCTGCGTTGAAACTCCTTTGCTAGTTAATCATGTCTCCTCTGTCACTCGGCTCCTTCCTTTCCCCACCCAAACTGTGACCATGGCTTGGCCAGCACAGCACCCACTCTCAGCCCTTTTGGATGCAGCGAGAGCACCCTGGGTGTGGACTGGTGACAGATGAGAGCTCCATCCTGGCAGCAGCCACACTGCTGGGAGCAGATCCCAGATTGTCACCACCACACCCCTGGAGAGACTGGGAGCGTGCAGAGCTCCATGTCTCAGATGTGTCAGCCCAGGGCTGGGTCGCCTCCTCTCTTCCCCTTGCTCCGCAGCTTTGCCTTCTTTAGGAGGAAGCACTAGCAGCTATTTCTAGCAGCGGAACCACCCTGAATTTTTAGCCTACCTTGCTTGGGAGGATGTGTTTCATTTTGTTCTTTTCTTTTATTGTAGAACAGTTATTTTTTCCAAATAATAACTCAGTTTCAATTCCAGCGCTCAAATTCAATTCCAGTTTGTAAGCTGCCTTCTGTGCTTAAGATAGTCGTGCTTTGTAATTACATGAAAATTGTGTACATCTCTTATTTTTGGGACTTCAGGATTTTGGACTTAAAGTCTGGTCAGGTTTCTCATCCCAGTTGTCCTGTTGCTCTTTCTAAAGCACTAGATGAATAGCAAAGGCGTTTAAGCAGCTTAAATCTGGCACAGCTGCCACAGTAAACAGCTTTCTTCAGATACAATCCCTGGCAAGGCAACAAAGGAAATCCCTAACCTCATTGTCCCTTTCCTTTTGTAGGTCCACCTTCCTTTTGCTGTAGTTGGCAGCACTGAAGAAGTGAAGATCGGCAATAAGATGGCAAAAGCCAGGCAGTACCCCTGGGGTGTTGTGCAGGGTATGTTACTGAAAGCATGAATAAGACCTTGTCATCCTGTCTCATTCTGATGAAAGGTGCATTGATCTCTGCATGGTCCTTACCAAAATCTGTCTTGAGAAAGGAAGATCACAGCCCTTAAGAATTCTCCTTAAAATCAGAGCTTTGTAACCGAGATCTAGACATGTTGGGGGTTTGGTGGCAGGGTGGTGACATCAATGTAGCGATCAGTTTTGAGAGATATTAAATGACTAGCTTGAAAAGTGAAAACTTGCCATTTTCTGTTCCTTATGCTTTTCTGGCAGCAGAGAAGTGTGAGCAAAGGAAAGGCTGGGGCAGCCGAGTTGTTTGGACCTTGCTCCCAAGCCTGAATGAAAATGTGGTTGGAGATTTTCCAGGGAGGTCAGCAGGTGCCCTGCTGACTGCACTGGCTGCTTGGTGTGTCTTGTCCTGGTATCGTTGATGTAGATGTGCAGCTAAAGTATGCAACCCCCCTTGAAGTCAACCAAAAGCTCCATTTTGTTGGAGAGCAGAGTTTGGCTTGGTCAGTGTTTGCAGTCCAGGCTGTACTGATACTGCCAAAGACAGGGCTGATGTTTGCTTTCCCAACCAGCACTGAGGAGTACAGGGTTGAGCTGGTAGTGATCAGCTTGTGGCTTCAGCTGTGTGTCCAGCTGGAGGATGGCCCAGCAAGCTGCAGGGGAGCAGCCACAGGCCAGTTCTGCAAAACTCACCAAGTTTTCTCTCAGTCATACAAGCTGACCCTGAAGCAGCCTCAGACTTTCTGTCTTCAGCTGTGTACACCAGACGATAATACTGGGAATGATCACAATTAGGAAAGAAGTTGATATGTTTGGCAGGTCTTGGACTAGACATGTATCGTGCTGGGTTCTTGCTGTTCCCAGGAAGCTAGAACCGGATAGTGCAAGAGATTTAGTTGGGTACCAGGGAGACTTTGAAGATCCAGCCCTGAGCGGCCCTTTTCCAGAGACAAATGCTGTAGTCCAAAGGGGAGCAGCTGGAGTGCTTCACTGGGTCCCTGGAAGTGTGCTGCAGACTGGTCTGTTAGCAGCAGAGATGAATGCAGCTTGCTGTTGCTCTCTAAAGAGAGAACTTCTACCCCTTGTGTTTAAGCAGACCCAATCTGTTTGCTTGCACTCTGGGTGCAGGCCTTTTGTGGGCTGACAAGCTTGCTGTCACCCAAGGGCTGACGGTGGCATGCCAGACTGTACTTGGCATAGAAGTTGCTATGTAAAGCCATGATTTACTCTGTGTGCTGCTTCTCTTCAGTGCCAGGAGTAGGGGTACAGGGCTCCTCTGTAAGGTTTGCTGGCATGGAAAAGGTACAGCATCTCTGATGGGTCTTCTCATAACCTTTCCTTTCACCACTGCTGCAAACAGACTTCATTGCCTCTCTGGGCCTCCATTGGTAACTGATCTAGAGTGGATTTATAGTGGATTTGAGTGAGAACTGAAATCCTGTGTGCAAAAGGATTGTCCCCTTGTTGGTGCAGAAATGTGCGGAGAGATGGAAGCTCTGATACGAAGGGAAGCACAGACATCTTGCAAATCCAGTGAAAAGCCTTGGACTGGTGCTCATGTGTTGGCATGGGATGGTTTCATCCCAGTTCAGTGAGGCATTTTGGTGCAAGCTGACTTGGGGTTCTCCTTTTGTACCTGAAGAACTCTCAACCTTGCTCAACTGGAGCTCCAGGTCAAGGGAAAGGTGAGGGGACATGGCCCCTGGGTTTAACTTCCTCTCTGTCTTTTTTGCAGTTGAAAATGAAAATCACTGTGACTTTGTGAAGCTGCGGGAGATGCTGATCCGAGTGAACATGGAAGACTTGAGAGAGCAGACACACACCCGACACTATGAGCTCTACAGGCGCTGCAAGCTTGAGGAGATGGGATTCAAGGACACGGATCCGGACAGCAAGCCTTTCAGGTAGGAAAGCATAACTCAGGCCTTGTACAACCAGGGGGACTGGAAGTTTTGGACTGTGGATGTTTGCAAGAAGCAGGGAGGGAATAGCCATGGTCACTTGGAGCAGCTGAGATCTAAAGTGCAGTTGGGGAGGAAAACTTTGTGCAATGCAGTCTTGCCCTCAGGGCCTAGAATTTGTACAGAAACATGGGAAAAGCTTGGGTGTCTGAGAAAGCCAATTCTTGCCTTAACGCTTTGCAGCAAGGCTGTACAGGCTTTCTAGAACCTGCAGAATGTCACTAGGATGTGGAAGGTGATGTGTTTTGAGGGTAGCATATGACCTACTTGAGATCAGCCTGGAAAGTTTAGGAGGAAGAAGCATACGTCCATGGATCTGCCTGTGCCCTGCTACTGAAATTGTGTCAGTTTCCTGATAGCGTTTCTTAACAAGTGCTTGCCTTTCAGTCTCTCTCTTACCTGTTACCTGTCAGCCAGTACTAAAAGTGTTGAAGGGATTGATTTCTAAATGTTCCGCCTGTCACTCCTTGCGGAGAGCTGTTCATATTGTTGACTTGTTTTTTCAAGCTGGGAGAGTCCTGTATTTGGGATTGGGAAGTTGATTTTGGGGATTTTTTTTCTTCTTCCCTCTACCCACCCCTGCTTTCCTAAAACCTGTGAACTGTCCAGTCTGCAGTGAAGCTTACACTTATCTTCCTACTGGTTGGTAGTACTATGAGCTTCATGGAGATGTGGGTTAATCTGTTGACTAGTGACTTTGTTAATGACTTCAGAAATTTGTCATGACACTTTTTGCCTATGCAGGGCAGGTTTTGAGATGGTCAGAGGATACATTAGTGCCCCTTTCTTACTCTGCAGACTCAATTGGGGTTTGCAGCCAACTTGCTCTGCTGCAAGTCAGGGCCATGTACTATTGCTGGGCTTGAAAAGTGTAGCTGTGTCTATGTGAATATGAAAGTGTCACATGTTGAGGTATAACTGGTTACCAAGGGGGATATTCTGGGATAAATATCCTTGTTGACCCTCCTAGAGCTTTTTGTAGCTGGTCCAAGGTGCACTGTAAAGAGGATGCCATGGTCTCATTCTCAAGGTTTGGCTTATTACTAAATGCAGAGTTTGTGCTGTCAGCTGTATTGGTCGGAAGCCCAAACCATTAGCTAAGGACAACAGCTGTGTGGGAATCTGGGAGGGAGTGTTTTCTCCTTTAATTTCCTGTTTCCCATTCCTCCCCAGCTTTTCCCCAGTAATTGAGCCCACTGCCTTAGCAAAATTCCACTCTTTTCTGCTCCAGGAGAAGGCATTCAGAATTAAATTTATCAGTGTGGATTTATCCCTATAATACATACATGTCAGGAACTCGTGTGCCAATTTCTGAGTAACCACGAACATGGTTCATCTCTGATCCTCAACAGGAGAAACCTAGCTGGCTTCAAAGCAGAAGCAGAGTGGGGGCCTTGTGTTCACGTTTCTGGGAAACAGTACTCCATGGTGAGCTGAGCAAGGTCTGCACTACAACACAGAGTTTGCATCAGTTCAGAATTTGACTTGCTGAGTTTATGCAGCTGCATTTCTTTTGCAGCACAGAAACTGCTGGAATCAGTCAAGGCCAGTTCTGTTACTAAAGCCCAAGTGTGAGGCTTTGTTGGATGTCCTTTCTGGAGAGCAATGGCTTAAGATGGGCTCATCCCTTCCCTTTGAGGAATCTGAGGAATTTCCATTGCTTCCTGTACACGAGGCCTCTTTTAACCAAGCTATAAGTAGAAAGGAAATTAAAATGTACAGAATTTCTCCATCTGGTACTTGCAGATTGAGAACAGTTCACTCTGGGTGCCTCTTCCTCCAATAAACAAACAAAATCCGTGATCCCAAGCTGTCTGGACGAGGCTGATGTATATCTGAAATGAGGAAAACAGGAGGTTTGTTCTTTCTGATCTTCCTTGTGAGACCAGGGATCAAAGGATGCCTGTCCTCTCGGAATGGGCCCTGGGAGCCACAGGGACCGCCACTCTTCAGCCAGTTTGCATCAGCCAGGAGCTGGGAGCCTTTTGTGAATCTCAGGGTGAGCAGGGCAGAAGACCCCAGCAAACCACTGGTGCTGTCTAGATGCTTGTGCGAGGTGTGAAAAAGGGAGGGTGACGTTGCTGGCAGGACCTCAATGCTTGTCCAAGCTGCAGGAGGTGAGGAGGGAGCACCAGTGCCCCCGTAGACATCTGCTCTGTGAAATTGATCCTCTGTGTGGGCTGTTTCTCTGCTGCTCTGGTTAATTTTCTCAAAACGCTTTTTTTGGTAAAGAATGTTATTTGTGAGGGCATCATCCAGAGTGGGGGGGTGTGTTGGGGAATCGAGTTACTCCTGTAATCTAGGTTCATGTGCTTGTGTACTTAAAAAACAAATTCCCTGGTCATCTTTGGGAGAAGCTGCAGGGATCCCAGTCACTTTGGACTGTTATTTCCTTAGGGCTCTAAGTGCTCTTATCAGATGCAGCCTGGAGCTGCCAGGCCGGTTTCTCCAAGAGCTTTGTTTGTCTGGAAGTGAGAGTCACTTCAGTAGAAAATTAAGCTTGCTGGCTTTAGGTTAGAGTTGAGTTTTGAAGCTTTAAGCCGGGTTTAGCATTGAACCTGGGAAAATTTAACAGCAAAACCCTGACACCGTCATTCCTGCCAGCCTTTTCCTGCTTGCCCATCAGCTGGCATTGTGTTTTTGGAAATGAGCTTTGCAAGAAATTGTGTGCAATACAGGATACGATGAGCAGCGTGTGGAGTTTTCTGTTTCAGTCTGAAAGGCTTTGCTGCTCCCTAGTATAGTGTGTCACTAATTGCAGATTCAGTTTTTGCTCACTGAGTATTTAAGATTAATCTGCCCTCAGGGTTTTCCTGGGCTAGAGCCAGACCTTTAAGAAGGGTTTATGAATTTAAGTTTCAGTGTCCACAGTGAGAGGATTAAATCTAAGACTAAATTTTAGGGATCTTTGGATTCAAGTATCATGATCTCTGTCTGCCGTGAATGTTGTGGTTCTTGATTTAGTTAAGAATCCAGAGATCCATCTTGCCCTGTTCTAACTGAAATGCCCATCAATTACCAGTGTTAAAAGAGTTTCATCTGTCAAGTTTGGTTAAGGTGTTCCTTAACCAAAGGTGCAGAAATGCAGCGTATCTGTGTGATATCAGTGGAGTTTTCCCTTAAAAAATGCATTTTCAAGAAAGCATCTTGTGGGAATGACAACTATTTCCCCCGCTATCATTATGGAGGAAATAGCCAAATCCATTTAAGGAATAAAATGAAGAGGAATGTGGTGTCCAAAGTTCCTAAGAGGCTCTGAAAATCTCAGAGGTGTGTGGACAACATATTTTGTGTCCCAGATCTTTGCTGGGGAAAGAAAGGAATGCCAAGAAGTAGAGGGGGAATAAAGGAATGAAGGAATTCAGTAACGTGGTTATTTGGAGGAGGAATGCTGCAGCTCATTCACAAAGGCTTGATTTTTGACTCCTTTGACAGCTAAAGGAGAAAGAGAGGTCTCCCAACGTGGCTTGATCTAAATAAAGCCCCTGATCTGAATCCATTAGCAATGAGTAGTGAGCATGAGTTTAGCTGTGTGTCAGTGTCATGCTTAATGAACTATGTAAAGCCAGATTTCACACTCTGATATGTGTGTGTCTCTTCCACACATCTTGCACTTCAAATGATGAGATTAGGGACAAACGGTGGGAGAACTGAGAAGGTGTGACTTAAAAAGATCACAGGCCATGGGAGCACCAGGGACTGCTTATGTAGTGTTTGTCTATTTTTAATGACAGTCATCATCCCTGCTAAGTGATATGCAGGATGCTGAACTGTGTGCTGTTTTTTAGCTTGCCAATTTATCTCCCACTGCTGCCACCTAGCAAGCTAGCACTGGTTTTGGTGGAGGTGATCTTGCCTCTTTTGTAGTCAGGGTCTTCTGATGATGTTCTATGACAAGGCAATGTGGTAAGATCACAAAAGGCTGGAAACTCCTGACTCTGCTTGAAACACAGCTCTGACTATTTGTTTTTCCTGTGTTTTTAATAGTCTCCAGGAGACTTATGAAGCAAAGAGGAACGAATTCCTGGGTGAACTCCAGAAGAAGGAGGATGAAATGAGGCAGATGTTTGTCATGCGAGTGAAGGAGAAGGAAGCAGAGTTGAAGGAAGCAGAGAAAGATGTGAGTATGTTATAATTTGTGGGGCTATGTGTGACGGTGTAGGGCTTTCTCAAGAGAGCCGTGAGAAAGTGAGGATCCAGATTCCAACATGAAGCCTGCAAAGGTGCTTGCTGTGCATAAACAGTCCCAAGAAGCAGATGTGAGCTTGCTTCCCAGTCCTGCCATGGACTGGTGGTGTGACCCCATCACACAAGTCCTCTGATGCTTTTCTGTGCCTGTGAAATGGAGCAGGAGTATTTCTTGGGTTTTGGCATCTGGAGGAGGATACATACCATGGAGTGAGTGGGAGGTGCTGCAGAGTGACAGTGGCAGCAGTTACATGCCCTGCAGAAATGTGGGAGTCCTCTCTGCTCCCTCACCTCTTCAGTCCCACCCAAAGGAGAGAATATTTGCTTCTCAGAGTGATGCTGATTTGCGGTGGATCTATAGCTATGGTACAGCCCGCGTTGCCCTTTAGCAGTGGTACAGCCCGCGTTGCCCTTTAGCAGTCACGTCTTTCTGGAGACTTCCAGTAAGTAGAAAAGGACTTCCCATATGGTCTAAGTCCCACTCAGCGTAGTTGAGGGAGGTGACAGAGTTCTTTGAGAGCTGCCCTCCCATGGCTTGCTCAGTGTGTGTAGGTCAGCATGGTTACCATGGGACAGAGAAAATGTAGATATCCTGCTAGTGGAAGGAGCTGGTTTTTGGGCCTCATGGAGGAGCATGTACTTCTACAGAGGTAAAGAGCCCCAGAGAAGACCCTGAATGGCCATGTTTTCTTGCTTTGCTTGATCACGAGAGCATCTGCTAGATACAAAGTAATGAGGGATGGGACATGGGATGTCGCCACCATATTCCTGATCTGTCATATTCCTACAGTAGCTGAAATTCCTGCCATTCATGTGTGCAAGTGTGTGTTAACTGCAGGGCTTTTCTCACGAAGTCAGGCATGCTTGGGACAGGCCAGTGACTTGTTATTAATGCAGGGAGGACTCACTGGCAGTGAAACTACTTCAGGCATCATTGCCTGTAACTGGGGTGAAACATTCTTCTCTTCCTGTACAATTCTCATTGTCTCTGTCCTGGCAGCTTCATGAAAAGTTTGACCATCTAAAGAGGACTCACCAAGAAGAGAAGAAAAAAGTGGAAGACAAAAAGAAGGAACTTGAGGAAGAGCTGAACAACTTTCAAAAGAAGAAGGCAGCAGCTCAGCTATTGCAGTCACAGGCTCAGCAGGCAGGTTCTCAACAAACCAAGAAAGACAAGGACAAGAAAAAGTAAGCGAATGTCACCCACATCCTTTGTAGGGTTTGTTACCATCTGGGAGGTTGTTTTTAATTTCTTGGTGCATGTCTGTATTTGCTTTTCCCCATTACCAGACTGGAACCTGGGCTTTGATCAGCCTGATGAAATAAAGTATTTTTTTCTAAAGGGTGGGCCAGGGACATGATCTTAATTTTTTTCTAGAAGAGTACCTTCAGATTTTATGTTGGTCTGACTGGTATGGGAGAGCAATTGGATGGTGGAGGTTTGACCTGTGATCTCTCCAGCTCTGGGATGTTGTGGACTCAGATTTATCTGCCTGAGCCAAAATTATTAAGGAGGTCTCTACCTGTCCTTTATTTCACCTAAGAGTAGCCCCCAGGTCTTATTCTTTAAGGTTATAATTGTAAATAGAAGTAGATTAGAAACCAAAACCACCATGTTATTTTCACGTGGGAAATCTTAGTGCCAAAAGTGGATACCTGGGAGCTTGCTTTAAAAACAAGAAGGTTTGATTTTGTGTTTTGTTTTTTTTTAAAAAAAAAAAACCAAACTACTATGGTACCATATTTGCAGGTAAATGGCATTTGTGGTTGTATCAAGTTGACATAATAAGCTAAGAAAGCCATACTTTTTAGTAAAGATAGTGGCACTGTCTTCTACTGTTTTATATTTGTATGCTATGTATATAATCGTATACCCTCCAGTACTCTGAGATTCTAGCAACTTAGTAGGCACCAGGTGTATCTGTGGACAGAGCCAGTCCCATGGTCAGTATTTGGAGGCAGGATTTTCAGCTGTGCTCGGTTTGGACCTAACTCCACTTTCACTGAAACTGGAGGAATATTGCCATTGACTTGGGCTCAGTCCCTGCAAAGCTCTGCTGAAAACCTTGAGCTCTAGATTAATCTGAATTGACATTACCTACTTCTGGCAGCCTCTATGTGGAGATCGCTATCTTGACCTTGCCATCAGTGCAAAAGACCCCTACTTACTACATGATACAGGTTACTTCACTGTACTTTTAAGAACCAGAACACAAGCTCCACTTTGATGTGGTATGTACAGTGAAGCCAGACAGATGTTGCAGAGGTGAAGTCTAGCACAGCAAGACAGGTTACTGCAACAGAGGTCTGCTTTGAGGCCTCCTGTCACAGTTTCCATTTGCTTTTTCCCTCCTAAGAGAACACTCATGCAAGTCCTTTCTGGGTCACCTGTGATAACAGCACTAGCTGATAGCAGCAGTTGGGAAAGCTGTAGAGATGGTGATGCAGCAAATCTCACTGGGAAAGGCTTCTTTAACCCACACACAAAAATGACAGTTCCAAGCTTCTCTTAATAGCAGGTAGTGAAGGGGTGCATTCCTTAACAGACTGGCAAAGTAACCTACCCTATTAACACGAAGCTGTCACTGTTGAAAGAACCAAAATGCTAGCAGGTATTGACATTTGTGTCTCCCTTGCTAACCTGGGAACTTAAGCCAGGTCTGAGCTGGTTTACAGCCTGAGCCTATGAGATTCTGTTGTGTCGCATATATATGAGTCTATTTTTGTACTTTGGGAAGCTATGCTGATGCTCACTGCGTGTCCCCTGTTTCTGCTGCTGGATCAGTGCCCACCATTTGTTGCTTGCCCCAGGGTAGGTGGGGAGGGGCCTAGGGCTGGTTCCTCAGCTGTTACAAATTGACATAGCTCCTATGGAGCCCTGCTGCTTTATGCGAACTGAGAGCCTGGCCTTGGGCACCTGCTGAAATACAGAGTGCTTGTGTGCTGTATGCTGTGCTTGGGTAAAGAAATCATTACAAACTGGTCATGCTGAGATGTAGGAACGGTGTTGGCATCTAACGTCCAAGCATGCTGAAACACCATTCTGCTAGGATGCCTCTAAATAGGATAGGCTGGAACACCAGTCGTGTCTCGCATGAGAATTCAGACATGGTGACCTCTTTCCTAAAAAGAATAGAAAATTTTGAAGGCCCTTTTTCTTACCTCTTGCACAGAGTTGGTAGCTTAACGTTTTTAATAACTCTCTGGTCAGTTTTTTCACCTCTTACATATAGATACAGATATAGACCAGTGCAGTGTATAACAGCCTGGGGAGCTCTGTGAGGTTTGTGACTTTTGGTAGGCAGTGTTAGCTATTACTTGGGTCTCTGAAGTTGGCTGGCACATGCGCAGTCTTGTGGGTGTGATATACAGATGTTTCTAGCAACGATGACAAACAGAGTTTCTGCTTTGCTGATGCATTCACAGAAATCCAGTCATGAGGAACGTGCACGTGTTTTAGTGTGTCTTTTCAGTGTCACTCCACACCAGGTGCTGTAACTGCTTCAAGTGTTCTGTAGTGTCTGAGTTACTAATGGTGGCTTTAGAGGGAAATGCTGATGCTTCTGCCTTGTAGCACACCTTGGGTTTTCTAAAGGCTTTAAGTTTCTCCTTGCACTCTAATGAAAAGCAGTTTCTATAGGTAAGGCTTTCAGCCTTTCTCTGTGCTGACATGGACTATGGTGGTTCCTGTGCAGTTGCCAGAGGAAATCCTTGCCATGCACGATCCTTGTAGCTTCCCCAGAAGTAATTCATGGGAATGCTTTTTTCTCAAGGTGGGATCCAATTTCTCCAACTTGGACAACAGAGACTTTCCTTTCTGCTGTGTAAGCCAGAGGAAAGGCTTGGAGTGAAATCTGCTGTTGGCCTAACTCCATGAAGGAGAACTTGGCCCTGTTGATTTCCAGGCTGTTCCTGTAGGAACAACTTGTCTTTATATACCTTTTTAATTATTATTTTTCTTTGTAATCCATTTCTCAGATTCCTATAGTTTACGTGTTTTTCCATCTAAAATTGTTGCAGCTCTAGCCTGATGACAGAAGGTGTGCTTTCTTCAGGACAGCACATCCATGTACCTCAGACACTTGTGTATCTGTAGAATAAAGCATACTCAAGTACTTCCCTGAATGTGGGGCTGAACATTACTTATCAAGCCCTTGCTCTAATTTTGGGGAGGGACTGTGCTTTGAATCTGAGCAATCTGGAGATGGTTCCTGGCAATGGACTTGGCAAAACCAAATAGGAGCAGCAGGTAGCTTTCTGGTGCTTGCCTGTTGTCTGGTAAATAGCCACATGCATGCCTCAACATGTATCGTTGTGTTACTTGCTCATTCTCCAACTCCCCAGGAGCTGGGACCATCTGTTTGGGCTTTCTTTCTGTTTATTACAGCCTGCTTGTGAAAATAAGATGAAAAACTTGTTTCCAGTCCATCATGACTGGTCTGCCCATCACGGGCCATGCTTAATCCCAAAGCAATCCCAGAGCTGTAACACACGTTCTGTGGCCCAACACCCTGTAAAAAGAGGGGTTTGTTGATGTCTGAAGGATCTGACATGGTTCTGAAAGCTAATGTGCTGAGGTGCTGGGGGACATCGTGCTGCCCAGGTATGAGATACCCAAGTTTGGGTACAGGCTAAGCACACAGCCTGCTACAACAGCACCCATGTGAAGTGACCCAAACCAGACACCTGCAGGTGTACCCCCCAGCCATGCACGTTCTTAAGTTGAAGCTTAAAGACACCAAGCATGGTGTAGTTAAAGGCTATAGCCTTGACTAACTGAGGTGGCTGGTCGGTCAGTAGTTCTGCCCCCTCGGGTTTTCTTTTTGCTTTTGCTTGTCATAGGCTGGAGTAGAGCCCAGTCTCGAGGTTTAATTTCTTTATAATTCCATAATCCATCTGCATGCCCACCCACCAGAGCGGGTTGCTGGTGTTGGCTCTCCCAGCTTCCTTGGATTTTGGTTTTTGGTTTTGTTTTTTTTCTTATTATTTTTTCATTTTGAGTTCTACTATTGCTAACTTTTTTATTTTTTGTTCTTTTTTTAACTTGCAGTGCAAGCTTCACATAAAGCCTGTCCAGACAAGGATGTTCCTGCATTCACCTGCTTTTGCAGTAATGTGTCTCTGCCATCTGTTTTCTTGCCTTTTTTTTTTTTCCTTCCCCCCCCCCCCCCCCCCCCCCCCCAACATAAATAACTATTAACTCATCTAATAACATAGTGGGAACAAGAAGGAAGAAGGATTGGGTGCAGGACTGTATGCAACTGGAAGTTCAGGGGTGGGTGGAGGAGCAAGGTAATGATTCCATGTATTTTTCTCATCAAAACCAGCAGCAGGAAGTCATTCTTGGCCCCAGATTGGAGCTGAGATGAGATTCAGGGCTGGACGTCAGTAGCTCGGGTGAGCATCATTGACTGGATCGGGTCCTCAGTGCTGCTGGCCTGCCTCACTCGTGGTAGCAACAGCTGTGTGCTTAAGGGGTCCCTGGGTCCACAGAAACCAGCCTTGGGTAATTACTGCTATATGAGCCTAGTCCCTAGTGTGGCTGAGCCCTGGAGTCTAGTCCAACCCATATTCCTTCAATAGCTAGTGTGTTAGAACAACAGGAGTCCCAGTGTTGGGAGAGTGGGAGGGGGTATATGTGTGTAGATAACAAAAGTTTAACTGACCTTGCATGCCATTACATTTGCATGATATTTTTGATTAGTTCCTGTTCTTGTTGTCTGACTTAATCATATTAGTTGGCTTGGATTTACTGTCATATGCTGGCGTTTTTTTACAGCCACCCTTCCAGTTCAGTGTAGTAGCTACCTGCTGAATGCTGCAGCGGGAGCCCAGCAGTGCTGCAGGTGCCTGGGAGAAGGACCATTTCTCATTACTGCTTCCCAAGTCTGACCATAACCTTTGAAACCTCATTTAAAATAGTCCCTGGTTTCCCATGTGCACCGTCTTAGCAGCCCTTTTGGAATCAAATACCTGGGTGGGGAGAGGACATAGCATCAGCATCCTCATAGACCCTTCAGAAAGGTTCCTGCATGTCTTTATAAACAGATTTGCAAAGCTGTGGGATCCAGAATTTCATGTCAAGGCAGTGATGGTGCCTGGACACACATTCCCTGTGCTCTCCACAAGCTGAGGGTGCCTGGACACACGTTCCCCATGCTCTCCACCAGCCTGCCTGCAGCAGGGACAACATCCCATTCACATGTCCCTTGAATGTGTAAAGGAGAGTAATCATAAGGAAACGGGTCTGTTTAATGTGTGTTTTCTATGCCGTTGCTTTTTGGACAGAGTCTTTTTGTTCATTCCCAAGAAGTGGTGAGCCCTGCTTATCTTATGACTTCGAGATATCTTTCTCTTCTGTTGATGCACGCCCAGCATTTCCACTGCTCCTAGCTAGGTAGCCTCCTGTTTCTGTAATACGCTCTTACAATAACTTTTTCCACCTGAGTCTCATGCATTGCAGTTCTTTGCTTGGTTCCGGGATGGGATTTTTTGCATCTTTGGGGGACGGGAGAAGGCAGAATTATCACCTTTTCTCAAGTGTTGCATTGTGAAAATGTGCTTGGAGGCTAGCTGATGGGTTGTCTTGCTTTTTAACCCTCACTGCTTAAACATTGGCTTTGGGAAGAGCGTATCTAAATACGATATCATGGACAGACAGCAGAAATTGATTGGAGATAAATAAGCTAGAAATAGAATAGTTGAGCCTTTTCTCTTTTTGGAGGGGTGTTTGTTGGTTTGTGGGGTTTTTTTTGACCTCCTGGTCTATCAGCCATGATGCCCTTTTTGTCAAATAGGTTTGCTAGGGGAAAAAGTAAATGGTGGTTATGACTTCTGGCAAACCCAGCCTTAAAATCTTGAGTTATCACAGAAAAAGTTGGGGCTTTGGCCTGAGGTTTTTTTACAGTCACATCATAGGCATATCATGGAATGCTTGTGGCAGTGTGCTTTGCTTCAGCTGTCTCTGTGCATGTCCTCTTTTTAATTACCAGTGGTTTGTGCCAAGTAGAAAACTTCATTTTAACATTTATTTGTCCTGCTTCGTTTAACAGCCCTTCAAGGGATGTTTAGCAGGGGAAATCATCCGAGTCTAGCTATATATATATTTTTATCAGAAAGCTGTGGCCAAGTGCATTAATGTACTTGTGATTCAGTTTCTTTCTCCAGCAAAAAGCAAGCTGCTGTGGAGAAACTGGGACTAAACCATAAACTTACAGAAGTTAAAGGTACTGTTTTGTTTTTCTTGCGAAAGGAGATGTTAATGACATTTTTCTTCCTTCCTTAAACCCTTGGGCCATGTTTAGCTTGTTACTGCTGCACTTCTTTCTTTTCTTATGCCTTTTTTCACAGTAGCCCCTGATTCTGCATGGAGTAAATGATACACTCAAATCTAGTTGGATGTGCTCTCACCTTTGCATGTAAGTACACTAGTAAGAGACTCACCCTTTCTGCCTCACTGCTGATACAAAACCAGCTGTGTTTTTCTGGGAGGGCTCTTTAAGTCCGCTTACTTACAAGTGGCATGGTTAAAACTACTCCTAAACTTCCTGCAATAATCTGCTTATGCTGAGATGTTGAAAAGAAGCCATAGGGAGCACAACATCCAGCTCCTGCTGACTGCCTAAAGCAACCCTCTACAGCCTCCCTGCATGCTTGAGGCTAGCAAGCCAGCTGGTGGAACCATGGGCATAAGCCTTGCTTGAGAGGCACTGCAGCCTTTAATGTGCGTTAGACAGTGATGATACCTGGCTAATGCTTCCCATTCCTGACAAGGTGGATTTCAAACCTTAGAATAATATAGAGGAGCAGGATAGCACACTAAAACGTGTTCCTGGAATGATGATTTTCCCAGGGCATGGAATAAACCCCAGAACCTCACTGGGGTTGCACAGTTACTTTTCCAGGAGGGCACTAATTAGGAAGGTACCCTTTGAGTTCATGGTCGTTAAATGCATCACCTTGCATCTCCTTGGTATGTGGTGCTGCTGAGGAGGGGAGACAGCAATGACTGGCATCCTCCCTGGGCTCCTCTGTGACTCCTGTCCCTCCCTGTATGTGCTTTTAACACCTTGAGAATCCCATCAAGGAGATTTGTATCTCTGTGCCTCTGTTTGAGCATGTCTTTATTTAACATGACCAGTGTTTTTGCGGGTAGCTTTCATTCTGCTTCTCCTAAACCATCCGGGTGAGAACAGAAATGTCTTTTTGTGTGTGATCATATCACATCTGTCCATTTGAATCCAGTTGCCATTTGCCCTTCTGAGATGTTATGTTAGAAGAGTGCGTAGTGATCTCTTCTCTGCAGACCCTGGTTGTATTTGCGGTGTATGATGCCCAGCAGTGTATGATGCTCTCACCAGCACGTCTCAGCATGGAACTGTACAAATATGAAGGTTTTTTTTTAATTAATGGGAAATAAAGCTGTGAACAGCAGTAGAAATATTGTATTTGTATACTTTTTTAAATATCCTGATTGCCTTAAACTATAGTTGTAGAACTTTATTATCTTGCTATTTGAAAATAACCCATGTTTGTAACTAAATTGTGTAACTTACATACAGTGTTAATGCAAATTATATGTATGCATCTGTTAGATATTGTCACTTTATTTGATGTTAAAATATTTCAGGTTTTGAATTACAAATTGAATAATAACCTTATAGCATAAGTTCAGTTATTTCTTGTCTGTGCTTTAGGTTATATGTACAAATAGTGCCAACACTTGAAGTGGGGAGGGGTAATACATTTTCACACAAATGCTTTGGTCTTGGCGTGGCCTTTGTGACTTAGTTTTGATGTTGCCATTCTGTAATGGTGTGACAAGAGGGGCTGAGGAAGTGCGAGGTTTCCCAGCAGGCTCGCATCCCATCCCTTTGAGATGCCTTGGTAGGGCTGTTCTGGTGGTTGTCCCTTGCTTTTTATGGCAGTTGTCAGCTTCTTCTGCACATCAGCCAGTATCTTGGAGATGTCCAGGTGCCTCTCTAGTGCAGTTGGTTTGTATGACACCTCCCCAGTGCACTCTTTCCTTCATGGCTTTGTTTACAGTGTTGTTCCTCCTTCGTTTTCATTCCTTTCTCACACTTTTTCATTTCAATTCTGAACCACTGTTTCTTATCTTTTCTTTTTTTTCTCTTTTTCTGTAGCTTCTTCTTTATGTAACCGTCATCTTGCCAAAGCCCCCTCACCCCCCCTCCCAGTGGACAGTAGGGCACTGGAAGAGCCTGCAGCTACGGGCACCCTCACCAGGAGAAGAGCCATCACATTCCTCCATCACGTCTGCCCTTCTCTCCTTCCCTTTTTGTTTCTCACCTGTGTGTCAGAGGGTGTGCTGTGCTCTGTGTCTCTGTGCGGGATCTGTTCGCTCCCAGCGCGTCTCCGACAGAATGGAGGCTACCAAAAGTGACAGAGGTAACGGCTGGAGGAGAGAGCTTGGCCTTAATGTGAGATACTGCACTGGGTTAGTTGTTGGTTTGGGTTTTCTCCCAATTTTCTTTCCTTTTGCCATAATATGCACATGTTGCTGATGACAAATAGAATGACAGACTGTGGATGAGGTGAGTGTGCACAGCTGGAAGACTTCATTTCTGCCTTTAACAATCAAGTCTGGCTGCTCTGGACACCATGACTTCATCACGAGTATGTCCTGTGCTCCTCAGAGAAGCGCTGAGAAGAAATCCTTAGACATAGGTGACTTCTTGTTTTCAGGATGTGTTTGCACGAAGCAGAAATGGCCAGTGTTGGGTACTGGTGCATTGAGGAAACCTGTTCTGAATGGTCAAGGCCTTACTATTTTATGGCTGATTTGCTCTGTAGGAGCAAAGTTGGCATCTCTTGTACAGCTGAGCTGTGCTGACTTTGTACTTAGATTGCTTGAGGGCTTCATTTTGTTTTCATGGAGCCTAATTATTGATTATTTTTTTAACAATCCTGAATATGGGATAGTTGGTAAACTTTTGAACTTGCTTACTTTGGAAGTGAATTCAGTCCAAAAAGCTTCAGGAGTACCAAAGTATTGTTTGAAGGTAAAAAGAAAGCTTGCAAACTTGGGGTGTAGTGACCTCTAGCTGGTTTGGGACAGACAGAAGGACACAGCCTGATCCTCTTTGGGTGTCTTTTCATGTAGGGTGATGCAATGTTTGTTAAGTGAATACTAGTGATTTATTCTTTTCATCTGTGAACCTTAATCAAGGAATTCACTTCCTTTAACTTGCCATGGGAAAGGTACTATTAAATAGTCTAGGTTTTGCCTCTTCCAGGCTGTGCGGGCAGCAGAAGCTGACAAGGGTCTCAAACCTGGGGGGCACAGTTACCTCTCAGCACTCTAGTGACAAAGGTTAGATGATCATCAGCTCCCACCAGCCAGGGGCCTGGTTTTCTGAAGTGGCAGAAAAGGCATTTATCCTGGAAACCTTTGCAATGAGCTGAGTGACCGTATAGCCACACTCAACTGAATTCTGGCCTTGTGCATATGCTGTAATGATTTACCTGGTGTCAGTAGAGTTGATGACCGTTGCCCAAACTGAACAGACATCAATGTTTGAACAAATGTAGCTTAGGGCAGTACTTGTGCGAATACCAAAAATGGAGCCTGTTCTGCTCTCTGGGCTTAAGGGGTCTGAGGTGATACTTGCTCTGCAGCCGGAAGTGCTTACCATGAGATAGCCACATTTGGAAAACATTTCGCATTCAGCCTTCTGAGGACAAAACATAGTGGCCAGTGCCTCACATGCATGAAGGTAGACAGGGTTTACTGAGATGTCTTGCCTGGTTTACAAGTGCTGTGTCCTTTCTTCCGGTGTTGGCAGGGTCAGGGACCACCGCCTCAGGCTCGGGGGCCTTGCTGTGGCTCGTCTGTGCAACCCTCCTCCAACTTGCCACAATACCCTGTAGATTACTTGCCCAGAGTCCAGCCCACCCACCGCATGGCTCCTGCAGCATCCTGCATGGTGAGACCCTCCCCAGAGCCCCTGTTTGGGCAGGAATCCTTTCCTTATGTGTGTCTCATTCGTTGGGCCTTCGTTTCCGTTTCAGAACTGTAGTATAGGTTTACGTGGTGGTAGGAGCTTAGCCTCTGAAATCCCACCTCTGTGCTATAGCCTCTCTCTTGAACTGGTCACTTGTTACTTACATCATGATCATGGATGAGCACAGAGCTACTCTGCTGGGTTCTGCCTCATGTCAGGTCACCCATGTTGTGCTGTTGGTAGTGGTTTGGGAGTCAGGCTCAGCCGTGGGTGGCTGGGCATCATTTACTGCAAGTAAGAAGAAAAAAAGGTGAGTTGTTGGTGTTTTTTTTTTATCCTGTACCTGAAGAGAGGGGTACCATGTGCTACACCCCATCATCTTACCCATGTAACTGTCCCCTGTGACTCTCTGAAACTTTGTGTGTGGCAGTAGGAAGTCATGACCAAATCTGCAGGTTGGGAATGCCTAAGAAGTATCCTGGTTGACTCCCATCTGCTGGGATTTCATCCAGCTTTTGAAGGAGACTTTTCCACTTCTAGGGTGTTTCTTCTGCCCTTCACAAGTGCTGGGTTGTGGTGGAGGAGGTTGTTCATCATCAGTGGCAGAACTCAGGGCACCAGTAGTGCTGCTGTGTCAAGGCCTGCAGAGGGCAAAACTCTGTTCTTAGTTGACTTCTAAATTCCCAATGGACTTTTGTTAAAGCTTTCTCTAAGGAGAAGCAGATAGATAGGCACAAAAGAAATGCCAGCACTTGTGTCAATTGCCTTTATTTTGCAGCGCTAGAGTTTTGCTGCGCTGGTGCCTTGAATCCTGCATGCAGCTCTGGACTTCATGTCTCCAGAAGGACATAGTGGAGTTACAGAAGGGCGCTGATGATAAATGGGATGAAGCAGCAGCCTGCCCCGTGAGACTGAAGAGGCTTGGAGGCCTCCGTTTGTAGAGGGAAAGGCTGAGGTGAGAGGGAGGATCAGCCCTTCTGTGAGCTGGAAGTTGCAGCCGATGTCCTCTAGAGGTCCCTTGAAGCCTAAAGTTATTTGTGATTCTGTGATACCAAGTCGTGCGCGTGGATGCTGAACTGCTAGTTACCGAATCGCCACGGCTGGAGCCAGAGAGGCACTTGGCTAGGAAGAAATCAGCTCAGACCCATGGAATAAGTTTCTTACAGAGCCGGTAGTAGACTTCTGGAATTTGTTGTCCCAGGTTATTGAGGCAGATAGTGCCAGAAGGTCTTGGGGTTTGTTTGTTTGTTTTTGGTTTTGAGTGTTTTTTTTTTTAAGGTAAGTCCACTGGAAACCGAGCCATAGATATTCTAAAGAGGGAAAAACCAGGATGAAACATCTGACTTCCATAATCTGATGGTGGTGGATACTGGGACAGAAGGAGGGAACACTGAGCAGAAAGCATGTATGAGCAGCACTACACGTGGTGTTTGCAGCAAGATGTGGGTGTGGAGCAAGGGACTGAACTGAGCAGTGCTGAGAGGCTTTCTCACACCTTGGTGATGAGGGGAAGGGATGATGACTTGCCCTTTGAATCACTTCCATCATGGTTAGGGGAAGAGGGGTCAGCATGAGGAGGGACAGCAGTGTGAAACCTGCTGTTGGACAGCCCAGAGAGGTTATGTGTAACTTGGTGTCACCCAATGTCCCTAGCAGAGTGTTTTGGTATCTTGCTGAGGCAGGGTTGTGGAGGAAATTGCAGAGGTCACTGTTACGCAGTTTGCTCCAGAGCAAGCTCTCCTGGGGCGCTAAGGGAAGACGGGGTGTTGCAGAGAGTAACAGCTGTGCAGTACGTAAAGGTAAGCTGGGATGACTGCTAGATGTGCCATGCACTCGGGTGCTTCCTGGTTTGAGGACTGTGGTGATGCATGTCAGCACAGTCAGCACTGGTTTGATGAATGCAGCAGGTTTATCCCAGTGCTCCTGAGGGAGACAACACAGCAGGGAACTGATCCTGCAGTTTGAAACTGGTTTCCACTCTGGCCAGCCATTCACTTGACCTGTGTGTTACAGAGGGCAGACCCTGTGCTCAGCATCGCTGGCAGGTCCATGGTGTGAAGCATTGGGGTGCCACGAAGCTTGTGGGAAGGCCACATGAATGTGAGGAGTCCCAGGCATCAGGGTATTTCCCCTGTGGGTAACATGGAGCCCTGCCAGCACCCCAGGACAGTCACAGTACTGTGTTAAGGTGATGGGTGGGGGTCATGTTTGGGCTGCATCATTGCCTGGGGTTTTTTGTGGGAAGGGAACACGGGAAGTGGGAAACCTTTTTTTTCCTCTGCCAATGCAGGTTATTTCCAAACCTGCTGGACCTCGCTGCATGGGGAAGCTGATCTTCCTGGGATGTGCCTCAGTTTCAAAGGCAGGTCAGTCTTCAAACATCACTTTTTTAGCTGTAAAACACTGCAAACCTGCACACCAGACCTGTGTTCCCTGGGCTCATCACTGCCCTGGCTGGCCTGAGACACAGGTGGCTGCAGTATCAGCAGCAGGAGAGCTGCAAGGCTGAAGACCACTTGAGATGTTGCTGTGGTCCCCTGTGGAGGCCTATGTGCAGGCCCTGGCCTGGGCAACACAGCCAGGGAGCAGGCCCACAAGCATTGTAGGGCCTGTGTGAGGACAGCAGGTCCCTGCAGAGGTAGGTTCACCAGGCGGGGGACAGGTTTCATCTGCTGAACCTTGTTTCGTGTTGGTGG